ACAACAAGAACAATATATATTGTTGTTGTATGGTACTTAACAACAACAATATATATATATTCACACAATCTTTCTCTCTCTCTGTATGTATACATTATTATATACATTATATATATATTCACACAATATATATATTCACACAATCTTTCTCTCTCTCTGTATGTATACATTATTTTCCGTGTTCTAGATTATAAATTGCTTTTATGACTATGCAATTTACACTTATCTTCCTTGTTTTGCTTTAGACAGTATTTTGCACATGGTAGTCACTGATTAAATGCTTTCAAAATAAATTAATTTCTACATTAATATAGAGGTTTATGAGGGCATTTATAATTCTCCAATTGCTGAGATGAAATAAAAGGAGCCTATTTTATATCCTGGACAACAAAACACTGACAGGATAAAAAACAAGGAGAAGAAACCATTCAAAGACTTACTCTGTAGTCGCTAGATGTCACATAAAATATAGGGAGGAAGGCCAACCAGATGATGCATGTGGTGTACATGGTAAAACCAATGAACTTGGCTTCGTTGAAATTTTCTGGGCACTTCCGCGTTTTGAAGGCATACACAGTGCATAAGATCACCAGGAGCACATCATAGGTAAGGGAGATCAACATGCTGGAATCTTTGACATTGCATTTTAAGATGACAGTTTCCCGTTTCTCTGGAAGGGTGTATCTTCTGGTACCAGGCATCTCCAGAATGAGCCACACAGACACCACAACAATTTGCACCAGTATCAGACCCAGGCAGATGAAAACCTGAGAACTGGGGCTGATGAATTTTGGCCTCTGAGCGCCATTCTTGACCCCATCAAAAATGCGGGCAATGCAGTTTGTCTTAGTCAGCAGGGCGGAATAACAGACAGCAAAGGAAGTTCCCAGCCCAAGTCGACGCAATGTACAGATGACTGGTGACGGTTTAGCAATGAAGAAGAATGTCATGCAATACGACAAGCTAACCCCAAACAACAAGATGTAGCAGAGCTCCCGGCCTGATGCTTTAACCAAGGGAGTGTTATTGTGCTTGATAAAAACAGTCACGACCATGCATGTACACACAAAACCCAAGCAGGCTATGGTGACTGGACCAATGGCCCAGGCATCTTCCCACTTGATATAGTCCTCAGGGAGGTCAAAGCAGCCAGATAGATCAGTGGTGGGCCATTGCCCAGGGCCACAATCCATACAGGTAAACTCATCAGCCAGGTATTCATAGGGCTCGCAGGGAATGCAGATCCAGCAGCAGACATCTCCTGGTTGCATGTTCTTCATTTCATTGGCAGCACAGGGGTCGCTGCATTGGGAGGTGGGAATTGAGTTCCGGGACCAGTGGATAGAGTCGACATCTAGTGATAAGGTTTCTGCCCAGTGACCAACCTTCAAGTAGGAATACTTGCCGCTCATATACTGAAAATTGAACACGTTGTATCGGCCCATTCCATCTCCAAAAGTGTCAAACTTGACAATGCTATCTGCACCTTTATTTGGGTTAAATGGAGCTGTGACATGGAAAGTAAAAGAAAAAGAAAGAAAGAACACTGTTTAGATGTCTTAGATATTTAGGTCAATCACTTTATATCATGCACTTAGTGATATTTAAATGACAGCGATGGGAATTGCAAGGCTGAAATAATTTACCAGTTTTTATTGAAAGTTACACACAAAAATCTATCAGAGTACACTTATATTTTCAAATGCATTACTTTATCATTACTAAGTGTCTACTGCAGTGATAATCATGACTATCACATAACACCTGCCTTCAAAGTTGCTTACTGTGTAATGAACTGGCAAACACACATAATTTTATGTGATGTGTAAAGATTCTTTTCTTGAAAGATTTCACAACAGGAATTGGGCACATCTTTAAGTCTTATCATTATAATACTTTTTTTGTGTGTACGGTCTCCAAAAATATTTCCCATTTTAATATTTTTGCAAAAATATGAAATTAATTCACAGTTTTCTTTTAAAAATGAAGAAAATTTAAATCACTAGAAACATATATGGAGTCCTGGTGTGGCACTGTGAATAAGCACTAAACTGCTAACCACAAGGTGGGTGGTTCAAACCCACCAGTCGCTCCTTAGAAACCACTTAACACCACCAACAAATAAACATATATGCTTCTTTTAAACAGTTAAAATGATAAAGATTATAAAAATTGATACCCACTCATGATTCCTCAATCCTAATATAGTCACTTTAATGTTTTGTACTATGTATTACGCTCCTACCTACATAAACACAGGATATCCTGAAGTCCCTAGCAGTATGTAGATTCTAGGTTTAATATAGTTTAATATAAATTCTTCAAGTGTACAGTATCAGCAGCCCCTAGACAAATTACCCAACCTCAATCCTTTCCTTTCTTATTGTTCTTGATAAATTCCTAAGAGTAGCACACAAAAAAGTAAAAAATAAGTGGATCTTGCTGAAAATATTCACAATGTCTTTCAAAATTAAGAAAAATGAAAACTGTAGTAGGTAGAATGATAATTCCTCAACATATCCTCATCTGAACGTCCAGAACCTGTGGCTATTTTATGTTAATGGAGACTCTGCAAAGTTAGTGGAAAAATGGAATTAAAAGATACATTTTCCATGAAGTTTTTGAAATCCCCTCTCATACAGAAAAAGGAACTCTGGTAGTATAGTGGGTTATGAGTTGGCTGCTAACTGCAAGGTCAGCAGTTCAAATCAACCAGCTGCTCCAAGGGAGACAGATGAGGCTTCTGTAAAGATTTACAGCCTCAGAAACCCTATACAGTGTCGTAATGGGTTTGAATTGACTTCATGGAATGCACATAACCACCAACTACTAACCTCATACACAAAGAGGGCATTAAGATTGCAGCTGGAATTATGATTGCTAATCAGCAACTTTAAACTAAGAGAGTATCTTGGATTTCCCAGGTGCATCCAACGCAACTCTGAAACTTGCTCTCCAACGTAGAGAAGCCAAAGCAAATGGAAAAATTGAAGAGGTGCAAGAGCTGAACAGGAAATTTCAAAGATCAGCTCGAGAA